GGCGGCAAGGAGCGATGGCGGGATCGCCTCAGCGGGCCGCTGCCCCGGGCGGGGCTCCCGGCGGAGCGAGGGGGGCAGCAGTCCTGAGAAACATTAAAAAGAAGCGAAAAGGGTTAAAGCGGGTTTCTCTTTGTTCTGTCGTAGCACTGCTTAGGTGGTGGGGAAGGCACCAGGCCCTTCAGCACGCTCTGCCCACTGCGGGGCGGAAAGTAAGAACCACAAAGAAAGGTTCAGGACACTTTGTTTTCTTAGTTACGCTCTCGTCACAGCACACATCTCCGAAGAGGTGTTTCCTGTTAATATAGCTTACAAGTCAGCCCCAAGCCCCATAAACCCCACCAACTGGCACTTACACAAAACAAAACATCCCTTAATGACGTCTGGCCCCTAGTTAGTGCTTAAAGGTCTCTTCACTTGTATTCTTGTATTTGCAAAGGCCATAAAACACTGCTGCCCCAACAGAAGCAGACTTAGGGCTTTCCAAGAGCCCTTTTGGAAGTTTTCACACGTGAACTAGTAAACTATTTACTTATTTTCCAGAGATCAAGGACCCAGGGATAAGGGAGGCAGAACTTTCCCAGCACTGAGTCCATTCAGGTGCCTCTGAGGTTCAAACACCAAGCCTAGGCTGGTAAGCCACAGAGCAGACCTTTGTTCGGAATGCAGGAATATTTGTATCTCTGCTACGAAGTATCTATTGACCTAGGAAGAACATGGAATTACATATCCTGCAAACACAAGGTAATTCAGGAAGCCTGTAGAAAAACAGGTAATTGAGCACAGGTCCCTTCAAATCCAGACAAGCATCCCTTGATCTAGTTTGTCCCATTATGAGGCTCTACTGTGTCACTTGGGATATTTTACAAGATAACATCTGGCCCTCTGGGCTGAACTGCCAGCTTATATCCAAACAAATATGTGATAATGTACACATGAGAATAGCGACACACAGAATGGAGGATGCCAGGATCTGCATAAAAACCATATTTTATTAACAATACATAAATAAGCACATAACCCTTCCATGTATTCTTCAGGTAATACCAGAAAACCATCTTGCAGTAACTCCAGAGAGGAAAAAATCCTACACAAGAGGCCAGCATGAACGTGGATCACTTCCATGGTTCCAGGCAACATCAAGACCACACAGGATTTCGGTACAATTTGGTAGTTACTAGAGTGGATTTTTACCAGTCTAGCTCTTGCTGGTCCAATGCTATGCTGCTGAAGTCACAGATACACTGGTTGAATGGGCACACAACCGACTTAGTCCAAGAAAAAGTCTTTATGCTTGTTGCTGAACCACAGGCATGAGCATTTGCCCTGCACATTTTTTAAATCACGTGCTGATAATTCAGTGCTCTGCTGTCTGCATGTTCTGACTAACATTTTGCATCACGCTTTCCACTCCAAACAGACTTGGTGGCAAATTAATGTTTTACTTCAGTTTATTACAGTCATCCAAGAATCATTACAGGCATGTCAGAAAGTTACCATTTTGGCAGAAAAGCCAAGAGACAAAAATCAACTCAGAACAATGTTGCCTTTCAAAAGGGACTATGATGCCACATCAACAGTGATGATTTCACACTTTCCAGTATCTTGATCTGTGCAGGTAACATGCAAGGACCCATCCCTAAATAAAAGAGAAAGGTATGTTTAGGACAATCAACAAACAGTATGTCACTGCATGTTCCAAGAGGATAAACAATAGTCTTTATGCAGAGTAAAGGAAGAAAGATAGGGTGGTGAAGCACTGGGACAGGTTGCCCAGAGACGTTGTGGATGCCCCATCCCTGGAAGCATTCAAGGCCAGGCTGGATGAGGCTTGGAGCAACCTGGTCTAGTGGAAGGTTTTTCTGCCCATGGCAGGGGGGTTGGAACTGAATGATCTTTAAGGTCCCTTCCCACCCAAACTGTTCTGTGATTGTATGATTTTATTGAACATTAGCATAAAAATACATGGGATCAACATGTTTGAACATAGATGAAACTGATTTACCAAACTGTTTAATTCACTGGGTGTTTAGATACACGCTTGCTGCTCTCCATTAAAGCACGTATCTTCTCTCCATAAGGTGAAACAGATTCAAACACGTTTGAGTCTTATAACTAAGTTTATTTAGTACAGGTTTACAAATAGAATATGCAGTAAAATTATTCAAAATATTCATCTTTGAACTCTGAGTAATAGTAATGGAGAGATAAGCACGTCTTCTCAAAGCACGAGAGCTTTACTATTTAAAAGTAGCAGTTGGCTTTAAATATCACTGTTTCCTTCATGGAGGAATATCTTCGTTTTCAAATTCCAAGAACTGGAGACAATATTGAATCCTACTTCATCCAGACATGAAGCACTCACACGTAATATTTAAAGAGATGTGTTCTAGTGAACTTGCCCTCATCTTTTTCATTTAATTATTACTAAAACCCCTTTAAAATAATGCAGGTTTTCTGCACTACAGGTGCATATACAATCCCCAAGATATTTTTCGTGCAGACCTCTACGATGAACAAGGTATTTCAGGTGAAATCTCTTAACAGAGCACTAATACTCAAAATTCAAGTAGCAAGTAGGGATTTAGTTTTTCAGCAACAGCTAGACAACTTTCACATTATTTAGAAAAGCCGTATGACCTTCGGGACAGTCCTCAGAAGACAAACATGATTTGACTACTTAGAATTCCACACTCTGCTATCTTTATAAACTACTCAGACTACTTCAAGTGAGCCCACGCACTCCTACTAAGACCTAAGAAGGTTAGAGAAATTTCTTTAACGTCATGTCACCCCCATTCCCCACCCGCCATAAGACACTTCATATTTTGCCATAAAACAGCTAGTTCTGTAGGAAGATTCATGAAGCCTGATTTCCCGTGGCATTGTTTCTCATGCTTAGCAAACCTGTCTCTGGAAGGAGAGCTACAAGTTTTCATCACAGATGTTGCATATGAGAAGTCCTTCAGGGATTCCTTAGCAACTAATAAAGACAGACTCTACTTCAGCTTTTCCTGGGAGCGCAGGCATTCAACAGAACTACCTGACCTCCTGCCACAGGAAACTTGAGATCCTGACTGCTCTCAAACAGGGTTAAACAGAACAACAGTTCACAGGCTGCTAAAAATCATCTATGCAACTGTGTTATGTTTTGTTTCTTTAGGAATCAAACAATGGAGGCACAGAAGCTACTGAAAAAAACCCACATTCCTACAGAATTTACATCTGTCAGGACACAGCCCTGTAAGCAACAAAGTGCTGGAATTTCTCAACACAAAATTAATCATTCTGTTACAGGAGAAAAGACTGCTTGTCAGAGTGTGAGATAGCAAGTTAAACAGCAGAACAATAAATATTTTGGGTACCTTTTCATAGTGAGAACAGTTAGTATATCATGTAGGCCATCCTCTTTTTTATCTAAATCCTGGAGTACAATCTATGAAAAGAAAAAGTTAAATTATCACCACGTTCTCTAAATCCTTGCATGGCAGTTTAATGGAAGTGACACAACAGCTAAGGTGTGCAAGTCATTCCGCCTGGCATCTTGTACTAATACTTCAGCACCAAAACACATCCTAGCACAGTCCATCTATAGCACAAATAGATGCATTTTTAGCTAATTGCACTACTGTTTCAGTGGTTTTGTTTCACCAAGACAAGCTCCCACAGACTGCAGTAAGAGCTGAACACGTTCCTTTACTTAGGTCAGTTCTGTAGTTATTAGGTAACACCCCTTTCCTATCCCCTTAAAGATCTTTGGGCAGGATGCAGGGGAAATAACCATTTTCTCAAGTATTCCATCTATTTCAGCCACATCTGCCCCCTCCCTGACGCTGTAGGAGCACTGAAGCCCAGGTAAGCACGTCATCGCCATTGCAAACAAGCTGTGTTCTCCCAACAGGCTGACAGCAGAGTAGCGTCTTTGTATTGGGTAAGGATTTAATCATACCTTGTTACCACTGTGAAAAAAAATCAAACGTGGTATTTAATACCAACATCCTGTCCAGTCTAGGGAGATCAAAAAGTAATCAGCAGTACGTAGCTACATCATTACCTCTCGCAGTTTGGCTTCTAAAATGTGACCGGCTGTGATCTCTCACCCCAGATGAGCTTTCTGCAGTAGTGCCAGATCTCAGACCCTGCCAGCCATTCGGAAATTCGAAAGGGAAACTTCAATTTTTTTAGAAAGTGCTTCAGTACTTCGTACCAACTCCACAGAAGGATGCTTAGAGACCATTTCCAAAGAGACACGTGTCATTCTAATTTTGTAACAAGAAGTTCTGGTAGGGGTGGGACTGGTTTTGGCTTTAATGTTTTTTTCCCCCCAGATCCATTTGATTTCCAAGTGGTTGATATTAAAAGTGCATCTGAATGTGCATACACTCACCTGTGCAAATTTACCTTCCCCATTCATGGGACTTTTCCCCAGTGCCTCATACAGTTCAAGGCACACAGAAGAAACGTTTCCAGGAGCGTGCAGGGTGTGCTGCCTTCGAGCTGGCAGCGGTGTCCCTGATGGAAACAGCACTGTGAATCTGTCAGACCCGGACTCGTCTACTCCCTTTAAAAAGAAAAAAAAAAAACCCAACAGTTCATGCCTTTAAGTACTTCAGTGAGCTGGAAGTGTTACAACAGTGCCCCATGTAGGATAATCCCTGGAGGTAATTTGAAATTTAAACTTATATTAAAAATACAGCATTATTCACACATTAAGGAAAGTTATAATATTGAGGAGGTCTCCAGGGTGGTGTGCAGCTGGTATGCATGGAATTCCTTCCATAATGGTTCCCTAAGCAACATAACCTGCAACCTTGGAAACCACACAGAGGGTGGAGTGGAGTGAAGACTCTGTGGCCAGACTCTGTGATAACCGTGCAGAGATGGGAACTTAGTGATACTTTGAAAACGGATAAGCTGTACTTTTGCCACCCTGAGCCAACAGTCTGCCATCTTTTGATGAACTGCTGTCCTTTGTGCCAACTTTGCTCATTATAATGTCATTATAATACCAAAACACACCTCCATCCCAAAGGCTACCTGCTTCCAAGGTGAGACCACTCCTTACTGAGCATGCAGCTCTGAATTTTAGGTAACTTACACCTTTAAACCGAAGCGAGAAAATTTTACACCAATCCTAACAAAGGTACGTATGACTAAGGCCACTCAAGCTCCACCCTGAAGGTAAAAAACAATATAAAAGTAGCCTAAGAAAGGGGGGGTGTCTGGGAAGACCCCATCGTGGACAAGTCAGGAAAGACCCAACAGCAGACTCTGACTTCAGGGATCAGTTGACAGGCTGAGCCTTTCTTCCCCTGCCATAGGGACGCCTTTGGATAAGATTTGAACCTCTTTGAGAGCTCTTTCAGGACTTAGAAATCTCTGTAGAGTTGCTTTTAACCTAGCACTTCAGTAATTTATAATCTTGACATCTGTGTATACACACCTTGCAGAGAGCGTATTCATCACTGGCAATCCACAAAGAACCCGTACTGTTGCATTAAATAAACTGCACCGTTTCACGTATCCAGCCACACCGTTTCTCACTGGGAGCCGTGTCAGCCCATAGATAGTGGTCGGACAGGAATGCAGCACACTGACGGAATCTGAGATACCGGATTCATAGTGCCTAATTGGGCATTATTCAGGATTTAAACCTAGCTGTCCCCAGCCCCTCTGATACCTGAGGATAAGCTGGAAAGCAAGGGGTTTTATCTCCTGCCAAATTACTACTCTTAGCACAACACCCCATGAGAAAAGGGCTCCAAGATTCATTCTCCCTGCCACATTTACCATCAAAGCAACTAAAAAATAAGACATTCCTATAAATAAATGAAAAGTCCAATTACAACAGAGCAAAAACACAATCTATCTCCCCTTAAAACCAAGAAGTTTTTCCTGTCATTTTTTTGTCAATAAACCTAAGTTACCACTTAATGCTGACCTATAGCAAATCTGCAGAACTAACAATTAAACAATACTGTCTCTCCAACATCAAGCATGCATAAGCAGTGCTCTATGTTCCTTGCGGCAGTAAAATGTTCCAAGTTGAGTAATTTTAGCCTTACCTTAAGAAGAATGTCTTTGGCAGAACACTCGATAAAGAGCGCTTCTTCTTCTAATAAGGGATTCTCCTTCCCTAGCAGAATCCCTGCCTCTATAGCTGCACCAATGGGAATAACTTCATCTGGAGGAATTGAGTTCAATAATTCCACAGTTGGGAAAATGTCTTTGATCAGCTGCTGTAGCTTCGGGATCCGAGCAGACCCACCACACAGAACTACCTGGAAAACATGGTTTAGTGATTGCACATCCTTCTTCCGTCAGACAAAACACAGGTCTCAACCCAAAATGCTGAAATACAAACTGCTCTGGGGTATTTGATGATCTGTAGTTGCTGAAACAAAAATTGATGCCATCTTTGCTTGCCTTCTGTTACAGCTGTATTTGAAATGAAGGGAAACAGCTTGCAAGCTTGAAGTGGTATCTTGGAAACGTGTTTCTTCTAGTAAGCATCAGCTAAACAAAGTGACAGTTTATAAGTTGAGGAATTCATCATAAAACAGTATCAGGTTGGATGTCCAGAAGCCATCTAGTGCAACCTCCTGCCCCAAACACATCCAGTTGCAACAGGTTGCTTGGGACCTTACCTCCATGGATACAGGTTCCACAGGCTCTGTGGGCCCTTGTTTCACTGTTTGATTACCCTCACGCTACAAATTATTTTCTTGGTGTCTAAAACTTCCCCATATCGTAATTTGTGCTCCTTCCTATCACCCTTCCATCACGTGCCTGTAGGAAGGAGTCAGGTTTTGCCACGTGTATGCCTTCCTGTTCGGTAACTGCAGGCAGCACTAGTCTACCCTGAGCCTCCTCTGCCTACGGGTGAGCAAACCCAGCTCTTGGCCTCCGTACATCATTTTCTCCATCCCCAAATTGTCTCCAACACGGATGGCTCCCATAGGTCAATACCTTTCACCTCCTCTGATGCACCAAAAAGGATGAGATTGTGTCTGGACACTGTCCAAGTGCCAAAGAGGGAAACAAACACCACCCTACACCCACAGCTACGGCCTTGCTATTACAGCCCAGCATGCACCTGGCCGCTACTGAGCTTACTGTCTGTTAGAACCCCCAGGTCTTTTCCTGCAAAGCTGTTTTAGAGCAACACTTGCCTGTCCTTCTGCATAGGATCATTGCATCCCAGACTCTGCATCTGCCTTTGCTGATCTCCGTGATGTTCTTCTCCACTGGACTAGGTGACCACTGTAGGTCCTTTTCAACTGAAATGTTCTGTTTTGTTACATATGTATTTCTCTCGCCTTTTTCAACCCCTCTGAATTGCAGTCTTGACCTACAGGGGTTTGAGTGCTCCGCTCGTTTTGGTACTGTGGGCCAACCTGCTGAGAGCACATGCTACCCCATCATCTGTGTTACGATCAGAGAAATTCAATGGTGTTAGCCCCAGTACGAAATCCTGAGGTATGTCACCGACAACCTGCCATCACTTACTGATCTTGTGTAAGAAAAAACTCATAAAGCTCTTATTATAGTAACTTCATTAAGATCAGCCAGATCTGGAAACAAAGCTAATTCCCACTTTCTTCATGTGGAATATAACTCAAGAGTTCAAAAGTTAGGGTTTGGTTTTGTGGTTTTTTTTTTACATTTAAAGTGTCCCTGTCCCCCCTCCAAAAAGGTGTGAGAGAACAGCACATTGGGCCACTTAAAAAAAAAACACTGCCACCAGAAAACAAAATAAAAGATGTTTTCTGAACACTGGCCTGGGATACTTCCTTATCCCACCAGGGAAACTCAGATGTGACAGAGCAAACGCGTTAGAGTCCAAAACAGCACCCAGGACCACAAAAAGCACCAGCTAATGTTGGCTGCAGAAGCTACGTTCCAATTCCACCAGCAGTAAACGCAGCGCTATTTGCCACACACAGGTGCACAGGGGTTGAGACGAAGTTATCCTTTTATACAAAGCAAAAGAGACAGAATGAAACCAGTAACGTTTCCTACGTTACACACCATCACTGACATTCAAACACTCTACGGTTTGGCAGGTAATGTGTTGTTAAGCTTTGTAAGCTAACAAGGAAGAACACAAGCACTACATTGACACTAAGTGATTATTCCTACTTTTGTCAACTCATAAGACAAAGTCAAAAGTCAGGCTTTCTTGTATCAGCAGACCCCACCCAAAGCTCAGCTGAGGCAGAAAATCTATGTACTGACCTTAAAGAAGGTTCTCCTCAGCTCTACCAAGTCACACACACCAAGTGGAGACAACTCCTCTACCACTTACTCAATACGCAGCAGTAAAAACACATTGCTGACTGACTCTTACACCTAACTTGCACTAACTGAAATTCAAGCAAAGATTGGCGTTCTGAAGATCTGAGCCAAAAATGCTTAAACACATCATGAAGCAATCTCAATCTGCAAGGAAGAAGGGCCCCATAAATATCCTTCTCATGGAGTTACAAAGCATACCACAGACAAATGATTTTTATTCTTACCTTATTAATATCATCTGCTGTAAATCCAACTTGCTGCAAGAGCTTTTTAATTGCTTCTACACATTTACTAAAAAGTGAAGAACAGATAAGTTCAAACCTGGCCCTGGAATTTAAAAGAAAATAAAAATTAAGAAGCATCATCTCATCCATTAGAGACAAACACCTGAAATGGAAGAATACCCATTTTTAGAACATACTTTGGTTCTCCAGCTCTACCTAGTACTAAGGGATTTAAAAAAAAAAATCTTATTTCTCAATTATTAAATTGATGTTTTTGCTAAGATATCTGTGCTACTCCATCATTAACACCTACATGGAATGCACAATTCCTTCTTCTTCAGTGTACCCTAGACAAAACCCAGTACTGTTGTCTTGACAAAAACCAGTATTGTCGTCTTGACTCATGGAAAAAAAGGCAAAAATCCTGGAACTGCTTCATCTTTAAAGCACAGACAAAAAGACTCACATGTGCCTCTTGAATTGTCAGAGTGGATGCATAGTTGTGGATTTCAAAAGTCTATTTCATTTCACTAAAGCTGCTGCTGACTGGAAAAGCAACCAAAACTAGCTAAACATCTCAGTAAGAGACCATCCCAAGAGAGAAAATACTCAAGTGTAGGACACAACAGAGACAGGAAACAACTTTCTACTCCAGTTGTCAAACATAAGTGACACCAAGACTTCCACGACTATCATCCCAGAGCTCATTTAGATGAAATAGTCCAAAAGCCTTCTTTCCTTTAAGGAAAATCCAACAACAAAAACAGTAATCGGGGGGGAGACAGGGGGGACAGGATCACCTTGAGCAGTTACAGTATCTCCCTTTCATCCACAACCAGGCTCCAAAGATAGGGTCTCCCCATGCCTTTCTGCACACTGTTAGTGTTACTACCCTAACTACTTGTCGTGGTTTAACTCCGGCTAGCAAAATAGCACGAAGCTGCTCTCACAAATCCCCCTCCCCTCCTCCAGTGGAGGGGAAGAATCTGAGGAAAAAGAAATAAGGAAGCTCATAACATTGAGATAAGAAAAACTTACTAATTAAATCTAAATTAATATATACAAGTACTACTACTACTAAATAATTAAAACATATGATACAATTCCTCACCACTCACTGACCAATGCACAGCAGGTGTTGAGTGGTGGGAGACAGACCCAGAGAGCCCGAGAGCCACAGCCCGAGCGCTGCTGCAGCAGATTCTGAGCTAACCCCATCAGCAACAGCAAGACCGGGAAAACTGAACAAACCCACCAACTCCCTCATGAACGAGCCAGCACAGGAGTTAGCAAAGCAGCTAACGCAGGAGTCAGGGAGAGAGTCAGCAAGTGTACGGGAGTGAACAAGAGAGAGTAAGGGAGAGAGTAACGGCTCCCAGACCCCCTCCTCGCCTCTGCCCCGAGCATGACGTACTATGGAATGAAATTCTCCCTTGGTCAGTTTGGGTCAGGTGTCTGAACTGTGTCCCAGCACTGCCTGTAGTGAGACCGCGAGAACTGGGAATGCAGCTGCAGGATCAGAAGCAGAGAAAGACCTTGAATTCAGTGCAGGCATTCCCCAGTGCCAGCTAAGACCTTATCAGTGCTGCTCTCTGCATCCAGGAACACAGCTTCATAGCATCCACAGTAAAGAGAATTAACTCTTCCCTGACTGAATCCAGCACACTACTACAGATCGCATCTTAACAGAACCATCAGTAAGAAACAAAACAAGTCGGTCCTCTATCTTACTTCTGTGTCTAAAATTAATGCCATCAAAACCCAAAGTTTATTGAGCATCCTAAATACCAATGAGAAAGATTTCAAGCATAATTATATATAAAAACAGTAGCTTCAAGATTTGTTTTACCTGGACACATTACAATCAAAATCCAACCCGTCATACAATGAATCTACGAAGCAGTTTGCACTTCCCAGGGTTGATAACGAGTGCTTTGCAACATCAGCGCTGTTCATTAACTTCATCATGGCTCTGGGATTTCCTCTAATATCATGTTTACAAGACCTACATTTAAAAAACAAGTTAGAGATATCACTTCAGAAAGGCATTTGAGTGATGACACTGTGAGAGGAAAACCAGGCTAAAGCTACTGAACTTCTTTGCCCTGCACATATTTTAGTATTACATACAACACCACTACTGAAAGCTCGCAAAGAACAGAAGTGTCTATTTCGATTTTGACTAAAGAACACTGCATAGAGGCACCCTGAACTCGGGCATTAGTGTTTCTCACACAGATTTAAGTGTTTCTGAACAGTTTCTCAGCTGAACAACTCCTGAAAGTGACAAGTCAACTAATTTTAACAACAGATTAAACAGAACACCAAATATTAGACATGTCAGCAGAATAGTATGTTACATCCAAAAAGTCTCTTCCTGTGATAGCACAGTCACCTCAAGATCACCGGAGATTATGGTAATGCATTTATTTGTTTTTGTTTGTGACAGGACAACATGCCATACAGACTTCAGTCTGATGACCTACGCCCTACCACAGGCCTTCATGCCCACAGGAAAACCAAACAAAGCCATGCAGGTGAAATCCCTGCCACCCCAAAAGCTGCTGACTGAAAGGATGAAAGCAGCCTGCAGTCACATACATCACTCAGAACAGTTCATAGCCAAGCCCTTACAGTTCAACACTGGACTTCAGGCAACACCTATCCAAACCCAAGTATTTCCCAGCCCTCCTCCTTGGCCCCCAGCAGCTGACTGTTCCTTTAACAGCTGTACTTAAGCCATTTCACACACAGACAGTCTGCTAGATCACACAAACTAATTTTTTTTTTTTTTTGAAAGAAAACATGAGCTAACAAAGCTCCTGTTACAACAGCAACATGAAAGCTTGGAATTCAAAACATACCGCTGAAATTCAGAAGCTAAGTGTTGTGCTAGAGCTTCTGTGAAGCAAACTCCACCGATGCTGTCATCTGTGTTGGTAGCAAGCACACGATATATTCCACTGTTTACTTCCACGACTGTGATAGAAAGCGACGTTCCACCAAGTTTATAAACCAACACATTGCTGCCATTTAAAAAAAACACATAGTATTAATAATCATAGAATTGTTTGGGCTGGAAGGGACCTCAAACACCATCCAGTTCCAACCCCCCTGCCATGGGCAGGGACACCTTCCACTAGACCAGGTTGCTCAAAGCCTCATCCAGCCTGGCCTTGAACACTTCCAGGGATGGGGCATCCACAGCTTCTCTGGGCAACCTGTTCCAGTGCCTCACCACCCTCTCCAGGAAGAACTTCTTCCTGATATCCAATCTAAACCTCCCCACTTTCAATTTAAACCCGTTACCCCTTGTCCTGTCACTACAGACCTTTGTAAGAAGTCCCCCCCAGCTTCCTTGTAGCCTCTTCAGATACTGGAAGGCTGCAATAAGGTCTCCTCGGAGCCTTCTCTTCCAGGCTGAACAAGCCCAATTCTCTCATCCTTTCATCATAGCAGAGGTGCTCCAGCCCTCTGAGCGTCTTTGTGGCCTCCTCTGGACTCACTCCAACGAGTGAGCCATCTAAAATTATGTTTACTTTGACGCACTTTCTAATAAGATGACCACTGTATAATGTATTTCAGGTTTTAATCAGTTTTGTCAAAAGCATTTGATGTGGGGTGTCCATATTTAATGCATTTTGGTCCCACTGAACTTTGACAACGTTCCTTAAAAAACAAAGTTAGTTTATTTTATACAGTGAGAGTAGCCCATGTTTTTTCTACAACACAACTGAAAACTGAATATTATGTTCAAGATTATAGAAAAGAATTATATGAGAAGGGTAAAAACACCAAGATGACAAAAAGGCATCTGTTTGCACTGACAGCAGTCTTCACTGTTTAGATAATCTTGTGAGTTATCTCAATATTCATATGGGAAACCTAATGCACCTACGGAACCCAGAAACTCTGCTTTAGTTCTAGCATAGGTAAAATGACCCCTTCTCCCCCAGTCAGAAAACAGCTCTGCCAAAATCAGGGATGCATTTTTCTTAAAGCCAATCAGCTCATTCAAGAGCAAGACAGAATCTGAGAACAGATCTTTAAAGACAATCTAGTAAAATAAAAACCAGAACAAGGGATTGAAACACTACAGATTTACAGCTTCTGAATTGTTATTAGCTTTATTGAGAGAAAAAAGAAAAACAAGCCTCACATCATTAATTTTGTATTGACTGCTAAGGCTACACAGCATTCCCTCATTTCAGATTTCTCAGGATTGAAGTACAGCAGCTTACATTTAAGAAGTAAAATATTAGGATTTTACCTTTTCCCAGTGGGTGAATCTTGGCCAATTCCATAAGCCAGGAGAGCTGCAGACGGTTCATGAATTAATCTCATAACATTAAACCCAGCAGCTGCAGCTGCTTCCCTGTGATAAGGCAAGAACAGCATTTCATTTTACTGTAATGATTTCACTACAGCCACGCACGCTGTTAAAACTTCATCTGAACCACGTATGCCACCAACTCAGAATTTGGTTACCGCGTGGTGTTAAAGTGACTGGAAGAGAAAGGTATCAAGAAGTTCAGTTGCTACTGTGCTCTTTAGGTAGTTGGATCTGCTGTGTGCAGAAGGAAACCACTGATGTGTCAAAGGAACCACTGATGCATCAGTCCACATACCCCACAAAAACCAGTAAAACACCCCCTCCTCAAGCACAAGATGAAAACCCCACCCTCCATCAAACTCAGTTAACATGTTCAGGTGCGGCATTAGAAGTTCCAGGTATGTCATTTCACCCCATATCCTGCTGGGAAAATCGCTTTTAGTTCCAAATCAAGTTAACGCACCTCCCTACTAACATTTTCTTTACACATTTTCTTGAAACATCAGTAACCCTGCGTCTGCCTGCCAAGTCTTTCCCTCCACTTGGGAGTTACTTTGAAACTTGTATGCTACGGCAGCAGAGTGTTTCATCACACACACTGCAAGTAGCCAGCCCACTCCTGTTTTATGACCAACTTGAAGGGTGCTGTATTTCCTGATGGGTCACCACAAGGGCATCTGCATACCAGCAAGCGGAAATAGATGCTGCCAATTACCCACAGCTTTAAGTCTACTTATGTTTTATAACGGAGTAACTTTCACAGGTACAGTTCCAAGAACTTTACTGGTGTGCATTCCGTACCTGTTGTCTGATACAACAGTCCTCAGGGAAGTCACGTAACGCCTTTGGTTTGGCACTGCTGTTTACGAGGGGATGGGAAACTACGGAATTCGGCTGAGACACTACTGAGAAACTGCTTGCAGTTCAAGGCAGGCACTGGAGATCCACGAGAAATAAACCATCTGGAATGACATTCTATCCTTGATGATACCAAAATTCCCTCTCACTTCAGCTGATTCAGAATTTAATTCTGTTGCCAGCAGTGAATCCCATGAAAAGTTTCTCAAGTTAGGATTTTTATCTCCTACTTTCACATATTTCCAACTCAAATAGCATCCCAGTATCCTAGCTAACAGTCACAAGCTGAAGTGCAGCAGGAGAACTCCCACTGCTGATCTGCCAGACAGTCTGCTATAGGCATGTTAAGTAACAAAAAAATCTTAATCCTCTTACCCAAGGGCATTTTTCTGATTCTCTCCAAAATCAAATGGTACAGTGATAACAACGTCATTTACATCTGAACCCAAGGCAGACTGAGCAGTTTCTGTTTATAAACACAGGCAGAACATGATGATTAAAAGCAAAAAACGAACATACCACACCTTAAACATATGAGGACAGCTTAAAAAAATGAAAATATGTTATGATGTTACTTATGATATACCTTTCATTTTACTGAAAATTAGTTTTGCCACATCTTCCGGGTTAATAAATTTATTATCTATTTCATATTGAAGTTTTCCATTCTTCTCAATGACCTGTAAGCAAAACCAACACACCTTTGTTAGGTTCGCAGTTTGGTTATTATCCACAAGTAACGCTCAATTAGTTCCTGTTCACAGTAAAAACGACTTGCCTGTGTGAACACTTTCTGCGTTAGTACTCTTGTTACGAGAGAATAAATGCTTCCAAGATGCTTATCAAAGATCACAAAACCAACTTGTAGTACCCAGACACAAGAGACATTTATATGGACTTAAAGACTTCAGACTCTCTTCTGTGAAGTTTTCCTTAGTACGAAAGCAATGTTTAGGACCAAAGTACTTGCCTGCTTATATTCCAAAAGAAAAAAATAACACCTTACATAAGCCTGTCAGTGCAAACTGTCAGAAACCAGAGAAAAATTCGTTCCTTATTTAGGAATATATTTTCCAGTCTAATTTTTCTCATTCTGCAAAAAGGTTTCTAGTAACAAGCATGGTTTTATCCCAATTAAATACGGAGATTAAATCAAGTGGCTAAGCATTTTTATCACCAGATGCTGTCAGCACTGTCTACCAGCACCAAGAAACACAACGCTCTTATCCAAGTACGTTAGGAATCGTCCCTTTTGAGAACGACAACAGATACATGCAGTTTTTCTGTAAATCTGAGGGACACAGTGACGTTCTCTGCTACAGAGAGAAACATTCTATACAGCAGCGAACGGATGTCATGCAACGAGAGCTGATCCCTACGGAACGCAGAGGTGTGGCACAAACAATGCCAAGGACAGTATAAAGTGACGTAAGTTATTCTGAGAGAACAACAAAAGATGGATCATACTCACCGAACACTTGCTTTCCGCCATGTATTTCTCTGCCTGTGGGTCACCAGAGCTGCCCAGACAAATTCAAAACAACAAAATAAAACACATGCTCAATTCAATGGAATTTCAAGATCTGAGGCACCCTCCTGTCAACACGAGGTTAACTTAACTACTGTCACCCGAGGCTAAAAAACGTTAGCGCTGACTGTGCTTCACTGACAGCTCTGCCGGGGAAACGAGAGCCTCCCACGCCTCTTCTTACCTTCGCCCAAGGATCTGCTTCACTTTCACCACAGTGTTTGAAATATTTCTTATTCTGCTCTGCTTGGCAGCTAAGCCGACCACCTGGGCGAAAAATAAAGGCCCAAGTGAGCAACAGGAGAGCTCCCCTCCTCTCCCAGCCCCCCACAGAAGGGAAGCCTCCCCTCCTCGCTGTCCGAGAAAGCGACGCCCGCCGGAGTGACCCTGTCCCCGGCGTCGTTAGCGACCACGTCGGCGCGGCCATCCTGCGGAGAGAGACACCCCCGTGAGCCCCCTCTCAGGGCACCCCGCGCCCCGTCAGGGCTTCGCTGTGGGGGAAAGGGGATGACCCCGGCCCAACCCCTCCTCACGACAAGGCCCCCCGCGCGACCACA